GCCAAACCCGTTATTGAGGCGGCGAACTTCGGTGCGGTTTTGGATTTTCTCCGCCAGGACGACAACGTCGGGGAAGTTAGGGCCGCCTTGTTCGGCGCGCCAAACCCCGCCAAAGACCCGAATGCGGGATCGGCGGTTTGGCCTTTGACGAAATCGACGACGCATTCGCGATCAATCGACGAGTCGCTCGCGGAGATGGATCAAATGGCGATGCGCATTCGCGATCAATTTCGGCGAGTCGACGAAAAGCGGCTGGAGGAAGCTGTTCTGGAGCTCCTTTTTGTCCTTCCCGAAGGCCTGGAAGAGGCGAAATCAAAAACATCCAACCCTAATGAGGTCAGCAGGATTTCTAAAACCCATAAGGTTATCCTTCGTAAGCGGCTTTCCAACCTCCAGCCGCGTGATTTAGCGCGGATGCTTTCTCTTTTATTCCAAACCCTCCGACGGTCTTCCTTCGGGGCGGCAAAATCCCAACCATCGATTTCCGATGCCCACGTTTTATCCGACGGCGCTACTTTAGGCGCTCAACCCCACTTCAAAGAAGTCGATCGGTTTCATGGGACCAATAATCTTGAAAAGGGCGGTTGGAAGATCGACACGAAAATGTTCGAACATATTTTACTTTTTTTCGAGGTTTTGATGGATTTGCTCCCGAGTATTCCAAGTTCTGATGTCGTTCACATCATGGAGGAGGTTTTACCGGTCTGGAGTTGTTTGGAAGAAGAGCAAGAAAGAAAAGACAAGACGCTTCACTTGAAGGAGGAAAATCTATCCATCCTGCGATACGAACTCCGCCGCTTTCTTTCTATGATTCCAGCCATCGCCTCAGAGTGCCTTCATCGATTTACTTTTTCGGAATTACTTGATACCTTTACCCGACTCCATACCCCCTGCAGGGGCAAATTTTCAAACGCCGAAGAAAAAGGAATGAATAAAACTATATTTTTTGAGGAATCGTTTGTTTCCACCGCCGCTGCTCGCAAATTAAAAATCGCACTGACGCCAGATCATTACGTAGAAGCGCAGGTGATATTTCAAGAACATCTTCAGCGTCTGGTTTCGAGTAAAAACTGGGATAAATTATATGAAGAATGGATGTGTTTGTTATCAATATCCATTAGTGACTCAAAGAATCTAACGCTTGCAGATTATAAAGAGAATTCATTTGATACTAAAAGAAATCCGAATAAAATGCGTTTCTTAAAAAATCTCACCGATATATTCGCCTTTATCGAAATAACAGGGAAATAAAAGGTAATTCGAGTTATTACCACCTCTCAGTAGTGTACTTATATTTTTTTTTTTTATGTGCATCTGCGTGTGAGTGGAGGAGGGATCTTTTTCAGCCTTACAATTTGCTGTTTAATCCCCTAACCTTTATAATGCACCTGAAGCGTTAAGTGTATTAAACTATTCTAATCTTTTATAAGGTTATTATGGAAACAAATTTCATTAAAATGAAAGAGGCTATGTGAGGGGTATGTTTGCGTACACAATAATCTATTTTGCGTTTCCTCAGGGATTTATTATTATTATATTCCCCTTCTGCGTTCTTAAGTCCCTAACTTCCCCCCCTTTTTCCCCCATATTATACAATGCCTTATTCGAAGAGATCAGAAATATTGTACTGCCTACCTAGTTTACCCCCCAGGGAAGTACTGGAGGACCTTCCCTCTCACCGTGTCACGTAGTATCCCAGCCTGTGACTTTCACTACCCCCCCCCTCCCCACTATAAATACACAGATATATAGTTTTACTCCCAGGGAAGTACTGGAGCACCTTCCCTTTACCGTCACACGTGGTATCCCAGCGTGTGACTACCTCCTCCCCCTCCCGCTATAAATATCTATAGTTTACTCCCAGGGAAGTATTGCAGCGCCTTCCCTCTCACCGTGTCACGTGGTATCCCAGCCTGTGACTACCCCCTCCCACTAGATATATCTATAGTCTACCCCTCAGGGAAGTACTGCAGCGCCTTCCCTTTACTGTCACACGTGGTATCCCAGCGTGTGACTACCCTCCCCCCTTTCTATCGGTAGTTCCGTCTGTTTCTCTTCACTGGGGTACATCCCATGCGGGACCTGCTGTCACGGGTTGAGGCGATCCACGCCGTGACACGCCGGCCCCCCTCCCCGTCGCACGGGGGGGGCGGCACGGACTGCCGGGGTGCGGCGCGG